AACAGAATATCCAGTCAAAGTCCAAGTCAAACAGGACCTAACCCAAGTCAAGGTCAAACCTGTTCAGTCAATCCATAATCCTCAACAATACAATTCAAGTAATCAATTTAATTCGATTAACCAATTTAGCCAAATTATAGCATAAACGTATATAACGATCCAAACCATTAAATCTATTCTAAACGCTATTAACTTCATAGTACGGACCTGGATTACGCCGAAATCGAATCGATAGCTCGAACGGAAGACAAATCAACGAAATCAAACGAACGGGTCAAATTGAGTCAAAATACAAAATCGACCAATCAATCCGGCGTGGAGGTTAATCTGCCGGCGATATCAATCCGGGGCAGCGGCTGGATGCGGCGACGGTGACGGACGACGGCGACAGTGGCGGAGCGGCAGCTCGACGGCGATGATGGCGGACGCCGGTAGGGGAGGCGACGTCCAGCGCTCGGCGTGGCGGCGCTGCACTCGACGGTGAGGATGGCCGCTGTGCTAAGGGCGACGGCGGCTGGAGGCTTGGCGACGGTGCAACTCGGTGGCGCTGGGCAGCGACTGGCGGCGCTGCAACTCGATGGCGGCGGACGACCGACGAAGGCAAAATAGCGGCGCTGCAGCTCGATGGCGAGGACGACCGACGAAGGAAGCAGCGGCGATTGGCGGCGCTGGAACTGGCAGTGGGCGACGGAGTTCCGGCGAAGGAGAAGCTGCGGCGATGGCTGGGGAAGGGCGACCGAAGTGAAGAAGAAGAAGAAAGAAAGAAGAAGAAGAAGAAAGAAAGAAGAAGAAGAAAGAAGATAACGATCCTACGGTTGAAATTAGTTTAGGTTTTATCTATTAATTCCAATACTAGTGGTTTGGGCTTCGGGCCCAAAATACCTGATTAAATGGTCATAACATGAGCTCCATAACTCCGATTCGTGAGCTGTCTGAACCGACGCGATCACAAAAATATTTCCTACGAGATGACATAAAAGTTGGGGTTAGAATCCAAATTATAATTTTAACCCCTTTTTGGGCCCAATTCGTAATCAATTGCTTTAACAATTTAATTATTTCTTTTGGGCCAGATTTCGGGGCGTTACATTTCTCCCCCCCTTAAAAAGAATTTCGTCCTCGAAATTACCTGAGTCATTGGTCGTTGAAGAGATGAGGGTACTGAGTTCGCATAGATTCTTCGGTCTCCCAGGTTGCTTCTTCCACCGTATGATTACGCCATAGTACCTTTACCAAAGGTACCGTCTTATTTCTTAGTACTTTAGTTTCGCGCGCCAAGATCTTAACTGGCTCTTCTTCGTAAGACAAACTCTCGTCGAGGGTTACAGCATTGGTCGGCAACACATGAGTCGGATCTGAACGGTATCTACGTAGCATGGATACATGAAAGACGTCGTGAATCCTGTTCAACTCTGGTGGCAACTCTAACCTGTAAGCAACAGGTCCTATTCGCTCCAGAATGTGGTAGGGTCCAATGAATCTAGGGCTAAGCTTCCCTTTCTTCCCGAACCGTAGGACCTTCTTCCAAGGTGAAACCTTCAAGAATACCATGTCACCAACATTGTACTCTATGTCTCGTCTCTTNTGCTATACGATACGGTGTAGCAGATATGGGTTCCGTACCCGGAATGAGATTGATCGAGAACTCTACCTCTCTCGGCGGAGGCAAACCAGGTAGGTCTTCGGGAAAGACATCGGGGAAGTCGCAAACCGTACGGATGTCCTGCTGACGTGGTGATTCTTTTCGCATATCCTGAACGTGACACAGGAACATCTCGCACTTCTTGCGAATCAAGCGCCTCGCGCTCAAGGACGATATGAACTCGGGAGCCTTGGGGAACACCTCCCCGGAGAGTGATACGTCGCTACCGTCCTCGGCTCTCAGCCGTACGGTCCGACAACTGCAGTCGACCACTGCTCTATGCTCGGTGAGCCAATCCATACCAAGGATAATGTCAAACTCCTTGTGTGGTAGCTCTATCAAATCTGCAGGGAATTGCTTCCCTTGCACGGACAACGGACACCTATGATAAATGTGATGAAGACGCATGCTATGTCCTAGCGGATTCGATACAACGGTAGGTATCTCAAGGTCACTCCTCACGATCGCAGAATTAGCAGGCATGCCAACACAGATATAGGAGAGCGTAGAACCCGGATCGATCAAGGCATGCATAACCGAATCAAATAGTATGAACGTACCCAAGATAACATCGGGACTAGGATCTGTGCGCCCCTGCATGGCGTAGGTACGCGCTGGTGCCCGGCCTGACTGCTACGGACGTGGTCTCTGCTGATTATTTGCTGCTGTAGACGGCTGACTCCGTGCTGGATGCGATGTGGCAGGCTGATCCGGAGCTCTAGGAAAAACAGGCTCGCTGCTAGGGTTTGTCGGGCAATGCCTCCTGAAATGCCCTGGCTGGCCACAACCCAAACATAAGCCTTGGGCGAGCCAACACTCGCCCGGGTGATGCCTACCACACTGTACACACTGCGGGTGGCTCCTCGTTCTCATCGAGTTGCTAGCGGCGGCCGACGGAGACGGCTTCGACTTACTCCTCTTAGGCGGCGGCGCACTCGAAGAACCCTTCTCGTACCTCTTTCCCCCGAATCCAAAACTCTTCCCGCTTGGCCCGGTGCTGGCCGCGGGTCACGGGTCTTTCGTCGCTCGATCCTCCTTCTTGGTTGCCTGCAAATCGTCCAAGCTCAATTCCGTCTTCACAATCAAATCATACGCCGCATTAAAATCTGTCGTCGTGATCAGCGCGGCGTACGGCCTCAAGTCCGGCCGTAGCTTCTTGACAAACTCATCCAAACGATCCTCCGGAGTGGAGACCAGACTCGTCGCATACTGCGACAGGTAGTCGAACTTCTGTCTCAGTTCAGGCAGTTACATCCCCTCCTGCTTAAGTGCAACGAACTCATCGCGCCTCTCCTCGCGGTACCGGGTGGGGACGTACTCCTTCGTGAAAGCTCGATCAAAGCGATCCTAGGTCCATGGCTTGGGCGTGTGTGGATCCTGGTCAATGCGCTTCCACCAATCATATGCTCCCTTCCGAAACATCTGTGATGCCAACTCCGAGCGATCTGCATCAGGGACTCTCAAATTCTTGAGTACCCGGTCCATCTGCTCAAGCCAATCCAATGCAATCTGGGGCTCCCCCATCTTGTCTCCTCGAAACTCTTCCGCTCCATTATCCTTCAATGTCTTGAAGGTAACGATGCGCGGCTGCGGCTGTAGTGGCGGCGGTGGCTGGAACATGGGCATAAGCTGCGCCATGTGCTGCATATAATGGGCCATCATGGCCGGGAACATCTGCTCGTAGGCCACCTGTGGCATCACCAACGGTGGCATCACTGGAGGTGGTACGACTGGCTGTGGTACAGCTGGTGGCTGTCCCGCTGGCTCAGGTTGATTCTGTTGTTGCCCTCCGTCACCCGGAGGCGTGAAACTCGAACCCTCGGTGTTCACCGTGTGCACGCTCACGTGCTCCGGCTCCGGAACGTACTGACCATGGGCCGATTCTTGACTCATTCTAAAATAATAAGGAAATTCCCAAGTCAGATCTTAACGTATAACAGATAAAGCTATAAATACTTATTACCTTCCCGGGGCAGAGGAGTTACGTGAGATGCAGATGCGGCTGAATTATTCATTGTATTTTATTTTGAAAGGGTCCAAAGACCGATTTTAAAACCAAACCTGGCTCCGATACCAAAATGTAACACCCCAACCCGCATAACCCAAACCCGTGAGACAGCGGACCGGTGTGCCACTAGATTGGTATCCGAATATACAACATTTTCAAAACAGTTTTAAACAAACGTTCTATCAATACATATAAAAATCCATCGGAGTAATTTAAAATAATGCGGAAGCCTTTTTGAAGTCAAACAACTTGGGATCTTGCCCGAAAACGTAATAAGCATTAAAGTTAATTAAATAAAGCATAACTACAGATTAAAGAGACAGCCACGCCATCGTACATCTCCTCCTCAATGCCCTCTAGGATCGGCTCTAGGTTCATCTGTCTGATCACCTACGGACAGCAAAAAGGAAAACAACGCTATCCGCTCAGCATTGACGCTGAGTGGCACTCCATTGTAGCACAAGAATAAATATAATAATTCAATGATTAAGATCGCGCATATGTTTATCCTTTTAATAAAAATCAATTCAACTTTACATTCCGTTCTTTAGACGGTTGACCAATAGTCAACTTATTTTCTTTCTTTTCAAAACGATTTAGGTGTCAAGGATTCCTCATTAACTCTTTGACCACCGGTCAAACCAATTTAGACTTTCACGAAAGTCAAACCACTTAACATTTAATGCCTATGACGGAGATAGCCTCAATCCGTAATACCAAAGATAGCCTCAATTCGGTGGAGGTAGGATCCCTCGGGCGATAGCCTCAAACCCAAGATCACAGACCCTCGTGCGCACGTCTTAACCTCACTGACCAGGCCCTGCAGCCGCCCGAGCAATGGCCAGTTTCTATGTTCGACATAATAAACCAATTGATCCTATCTACTGATTAGAATTAATTAATTAACTTAATTAATTCAATAAAGTCTTGGATTTAACCATCCGGTCAAACCTACGTCAACAGAATATTCAGTCAAAGTCCAAGTCAAACAGGACCTAACCCAAGTCAAGGTCAAACCTGTTCAGTCAATCCATAATCCTCAACAATACAATTCAAGTAATCAATTTAATTCGATTAACCAATTTAGCCAAATTATAGCATAAACGTATATAACAATCCAAACCATTAAATCTATTCTAAACGCTATTAACTTCATAGTACGGACCTGGATTACGCCGAAATCGAATCGATAGCTCGAACGGAAGACAAATCAACGAAATCAAACGAACGGGTCAAATTGAGTCAAAATACAAAATCGACCAATCAATCCGGCGTGGAGGTTAATCTGCCGGCGATATCAATCCGGGGCAGCGGCTGGATGCGGCGACGGTGACGGACGCCGGCGACAGTGGCGGAGCGGCAGCTCGACGGCGATGATGGCGGACGCCGGTAGGGGAGGCGACGTCCAGCGCTTTGCGTGGCGGCGCTGCACTCGACGGTGAGGATGGCCGCTGTGCTAAGGGCGACGGCGGCTGGAGGCTTGGCGACGGTGCAACTCGGTGGCGCTGGGCAGCGACTGGCGGCGCTGCAAGTCGACGGCGGCGGACGACCGACGAAGGCAAAATAGCGGCACTGCAGCTCGATGGCGAGGACGACCGACGAAGGAAGCAGCGGCGATTGGCGGCGCTGGAACTGGCAGTGGGCGACGGAGTTCCGGCGAAGGAGAAGCTGCGGCGATGGCTGGAGAAGGGCGACCGAAGTGAAGAAGAAAAAGAAAGAAAGAAGAAGAAGAAGAAAGAAAGAAGAAGAAGAAAGAAGATAACGATCCTACGGTTGAAATTAGTTTAGGTTTTATCTATTAATTCCAATACTAGTGGTTTGGGCTCCGGGCCCAAAATACCTGATTAAATGGTCATAACATGAGCTCCATAACTCCGATTCGCGAGCCGTTTGAACCGACGCGATCACAAAAATATTTCCTACGAGATGACATAAAAGTTGGGTTTAGAATCCAAATTATAATTGTAACCCCTTTTTGGGCCCAATTCGTAATCAATTGCTCTAACAATTTAATTAATTCTTTTGGGCCTGATTTCGGGGCGTTACACACCCCTTTAATGTATTGGTTCGTTGGAGCCTATTTTGGCACTATAAAAAGGGGTGTTTGGGTCTGCTTTACACATCAATAAACTTCACAATATTCATATTTTCATTGCATTCAAACAACATTCTTTTGTATAGCTTTCTAGAGCCAATTTGTGTGAAGTTTGAGTTGTTTTTGAGCGTACTTAGTTTACTCATTATCTACTCTTAAAGAGAGTCTTGTTCTTGAGTGTTTAGTGTTGTATACACATTAAGGGAAGCTTGTTTCCCTTGGTCGTACGAAGGAAAGGTATTTTCCTTCGGGTTGAAGTCTTGGAGTGCGGTATCTCCGAGCAAGTGTATTGAGGCTCGTGGGACTCGAGTTCTCAAGTTGTAACGGTTTGTTAAGAACCCGTAAGCTTAACGGAAGTAGTGTAGCTCGAGAGAGTCTCTCGGGAGGCTGGATTAGCCACAAGTTGTGGTGAACCAGGGTAAATTTGGTGTGTTCTTCCCTTACGCTTTTTTATTCCGCTCTTTACTTTATCCCTGTGATTTTTATTCCGCAAAAATTTATAAACATTCTCGTGCCTCACTATTCACCCCCCCCCCTCTAGTGAAGGGCACTTATTCTAACAAACATTACGCTATTTATTATAATTATATTGAACAAATGTGTGAAAATGAGTACTTTGTTATTTATAAATGAGTACTACGTTAGTTTAGAATTAGTATTATATTATTTCAAATGAATACTTATTTCTGTGTGAGAATGAGTACTACTTTACTTCAGAATGATTACTACCCGGATGTATCTATCTCTAGGTACATGAGTACATCCGGATGTACCATATATACACTCTCAAGCTTATAAGTGTTGGAAAAATTACCTCAATTTTCTAGCAGAAGCAATTAATAATTTTTCTGTCTTTGTGTTGTCAAAATGGGAAAAATCATATGAATGATCAAGAATAGCAAACACAACAACAAGCAATCAATCAAGCGATAAATGAACACCAAGCAATCTCCGGATGTACCTACAGATTAGTACATTTGACTATGTACCATATACACTCTCAAGCTTATAAGTGTTGGGAAAATCACCTCAATTTTCTAGTGGAAGCAATTAATAGTTTTCCCGTCTTTGTGTTGTCGAAATGGGCAAAATCATATGACTAATCAAGAAAAGCAAACACAACAACAAGCAATCAAGCGATAAATGAACACCAAGATTTAACGTGGAAAGCCCAAATCGGAGAAAAAACCACGAAATCTTCCACTAATCACCAAGAAAATCAGTGGGTACAACCAAGAATCCTCTCTAAATCAATTAGAGTTACAAACAATCATCAAGCAATAATTTGGAACACCAAACAATAATCTTCACTCAAAAGTGAAAAAACCATACAAAAATGTAGCACAGATATAGAGGCGATTTTACCAACATCGAGAGGTCAAAACAACAATCCCACCGTTGGATATGAAGAATAAGACGTTAGGAACAACATAATGAAATTTCATCCCGATTGGAGCTCGTTTGGTCATCAATTGGAGCACAAAACCAGGCTGCACCTCTCTTTTTCTCCCTTCTTTCTCGGTTATGTCTCTATTTCTTCTCTGTTTCTGCGGCTGTTCTTGTTCTTTCTGTCCGAGACCACAAACAAAGGCTATTTCCTTTTCAAAAAAGTGGCATCCCCACTTTGACAAATTCCGTTTCTTTCTTTATAGTAATAATAATAAATATTATTACTATAGCATTATCTCACCTGTAAACCAATTACATTTTTACATTAAATGTATTCTTTAGGAATTCCTTCCTCCAGGTAAGAGGGATATCCAACAATAATTTGTAGGTGAGGGCTACGTCTTGGTTTTTAAATTAACCTAAACTTTTAACACTCCTACTACTTTTTTTCTTTGATTTTTTAATTTTTTTAGAGTTTTATTATTAATGACCCTACTAAAAATATTGGAGACCCAAATTAATAATTGAAGACCTCAATAGACAGTGTTAAGTGAGAACAAATGATAAAAGTTAAATATTTATATATTAAATTAATAGAATATTAAAGTGAAATTTTAAAAAATCACAAAAATAAAATCTAAAGTAAAACACTAAAAATATATATACATAGTAATAATAAACTAAGTTATAATGCAATACATAAATTAATTTTTATAAAAACTTTTTAGTTTACCATTTGAATATTTGTTTGAGATTAAATTCACAATTTTTCTTTAATGTTTTGTATTATTTGTATAAAAAAAATTCTGGCGCTTCCCCCGAACTCCCGCATGGTGCCCCCTACTCTCTAAGTTCTAGTATCCGCCACTGTACTGTTTTGTTTACATAGATTTATTATTATTGAGCCTGGGATCATCATTAATTGAAATGTTTTGTTTACATAGATTTATTAATTGAATACTGCTCTAAAAAAGAATATTTTGTGCATCAAAGGGGTATCCATTTTTTGAAAAGTGAAACTTTAATCTGAATTGCATTTTTATTTTAGATCTAACCAAGTTGATGAATTACTCCGAAGCCTTTCCAGAAAACTAGTGCTAAGTTTTAGAAAACTAGTACTAATTAAATGGGGTATTTTCACAATGCGAATGAAATAAACTCAGATCAAGTATGATTTGGCGATCAGAACAGATATGGATAGAACTTATCCTGGGGTCTAGAAGAGGAAGTAATTTTGTATGGGCTTTCATCCTTTTTTCGGTTCCTTGGAATTCATATTAGTCGGCACTGCCAGTTATCTTAGTCAAACTTTGATAGCCTTTTTCCCCCAAGGGATGGTCATGACATTCTACAGAATTTCGGGTTTGTTTATTAGTTTATATTTGCCTTCTATGTTGTTCTGGAATGTGGGTGGTGGTTATGATCAATTTGATAAAAGGAGGGGAGTCATATGTATTTTTCGTTGGGTCTTTCCTGGAAGATATCGTCGCCTACTGTGACGATTCTTTATGAAGGATATAAGGTCAATTCGAATAAAAGTGAAAGAGGGTTTTTATACTCGACGTGTCCTTTATATGGACATCGGAGGCCAGAAGGCGATTCCTTTGACTCGTACTAATGAAGTCTTGACCCCAGTCAAAATTGAAAAAAATCTGTTGAATTGGCTAGTTTTTTGTGCGTACCAATTGAGGTTTTATAGAAAATAAAAAATAAAATACAGAATCCCATATCTTAGTATTGAATATTGTGCTAAGGCTCTCCTAATTTCATAGATATGGGATTTCAGGCCTCTTAGTGTATATAGACTAGAAAAGGATAAATCCTAGTTTGTATTCTTGGTAGATTGCAAGACTCTCACAAAGAAGGAATGAAGGATAAATAAATTAATAGGTTATAGAAGAACCCTTATTTATACCTTTGAACAAATGCATTTAGGGAAGAAGTTTCTATTTTTTTTATAAAAAGGTTCAGTTGATTCAAAATTTTAAGATGAAAAAATGACAAAAGAGAACATTTTCACTTCTATCTTATATCTTTCCTTTCTAGCCTTTTTGCCCCGGGGGATTTATTTAGCCTTGAATCACTGTATGTCTGTATAGGATCCTGGCTTACTCATTGGTGGAATACTAGACAATCCAAACTTTTCGTGAATATGATTCAAGAAAATAGTATTTTAGAAAAATTTCTAGAAGTGAAGGATTTTCTGTTTTTGAACGAAGCAATTCAAAATTACTTCACGATAGAGCCATCAAAATTTAATAAACGAATATATGAAGAAGCACTTCAATTAATAAATATCCAAAATGAAAATTATATCTAGATAATTTTTCACTTATTTATAAATATAGTCTGTTTTATTAATCTAAATGGTTTTGCTACTTGGTATAATGAAAACCCGTATTTCGAACTCTTGGTTGCAAAAATTCTTGTTTAATTTAAGTGATACAGTAAAATTATTTTTCCTTCTTCTATTCACGTTTTTTTGGATATCATTCAACCTGCGGTTGGGAATTCACCATTGGATTTCTCTACGACTCTTTTGGATTTGGTCATAATGATCAAATAATATCCTGTCTTGTTTGCATCATTCCGATCAGTCTTGATATCGGTTTTAAGTATTTTCTTTTCCTCTATTTAAACCGCGTCTCTCCGTCACTTATAATTATTTATAATTCAATAGGTGAAGTTATATAAAGCTTAGATTCTTCATTTTTTCTATTTTTATCCTGCTTGGTTAATTTAAAATTAAGAAAATCTAGATAATTTTTTTTATTTGAGCAACTGGCCGAATCGTGGTATAGTATACTAGATGAGCAACCGAACTCGTTTGATTTTATTGATTTTAGAATCCACAATTGGCCGATGCACACTAAAAATCGTTTTTA